GTTGTAAGTGCCACGTGGAAGATGGTGCTTGTTCACTGTTACATCCCAAGGGACAACGTCTGGCCTGAAGTTCAAGCAATGTGCAATGGGACATTTGTTGAATGAATGCACATGAACCTTCCTTTTAATGAAGCTGGATCTCTCACCACCCCCCTTACTCCCTCACCACCGAACATTCCTGCTTCCTCCCTCCTGCACGTGCTGCTCTCTCCTACACAAATCTGCCTTTAAAGCCTAAGTTCCACTTGCTTCATGAAAACGCTCCTGACTATTACAGATCCTTTATCTCTGAGGATTTATTGCTGACCTCTTATCTATATTCCACATAAAACCAATGATCTCTTAATGAGACCATTATTGCCTTAGCCTCTAATTACTTCCTGGATTAAAAATCTTTTCTCCTCGACCAGACATGGCTCCCTATGGATACACACAATAAACTTGTCTTGTATCTTCCAATACCTGTACATATCTGGCTCTCAATAAATACTTACTGGCTGTTTGGGGATAATGAGGCCAGGTACCAGCTTTATCAGAGGGGAAACCAATTATTCCAGCCTTGGAGAAAACACCCTATTCTTTGTATGTGATCTTAATCAGAGCGATTCAGTACATCTGTACATGAATTTTTAGCTAATATGTCCTTAAGCACTAAAAATCAACTACTACTCTAAACTTAGGAGGAGTTTGTCAAGAGAATAAATCCAATTTTGAATCATTTTTCTGAAGCAAATAATTCCTCCTCCCAATCATCATTTATCACATACTAAAATAACATTCTATTCTCCCGGGATTGCTTATCATAAAGAGAACAGGATTTGGAAAAGATAAGGGACTCTGAGGACAAAACATCTGGAGGAAATTCTCATTCTGGCTTAGAGTGAAAGTGTCATATGTTCTCCTTAATCTTAGCCTCCATATTCATTGATCAGAGCTGGCCTGTAAAGGATAAATTGTGTCCCAAATTATTAGGGCGATAAACAAAAACAGAAAATAGAGGGAAATAAAAGATACACTGGGCATTGATTCCTAAATTCACTCATTCATTTACTCCTCCAATAATATTTAGTGAGCATCTATTACATACTACGTATTACATTAGGTGCTGTGAGAGACTGAGAGATGAATCAGAAAAGCTTATACTGAGGGAAGATAACATAAAGCAGATAGTGCTGGATGCCCTAATAAAACAACAACAACAACAAAAATGCTGTAAGAATTGAGAAGAGGAAGATACTCTTCCGGGAGAATCGGGAAAGTTTCTTGAAACAGGTTGCATCTGCCAAGGGTCTTATAACATGGGTATGGCTTTGACTTGCAGAGA